AAAATCGACATCCATTAAAAATCGCGGCGCGAGGGTTACCCCGTGTCGCATACTCGCATCTGTCAAACACGTCAAGGGGGAAATGCAGTGAAATTGTTGAAAAATGGGTTAAATGTTAAAAAAATATGGCAAAACATGTAGCCGGCGAGGGGTTAAGCTGGCAGTGTCAACATTACACGGGAGTTAACCCATCGGTCGCGGGCCGACATGCTTCGTTGTCGTTTGAACCCAAGTTTAAGTTTTTTGTTGATATTAAATGTTAAATTGTAATATTTTTATTTAGAAATATTTCATGCTGTTTAGAATAAGTGGTTTTGAATTTTTTCTTTAATAAGATAGCTCTTTTCTCATTCTTTTTTTGTTTTTTTCTTTCTATATAGTTAAAGAAGGGATGATCATTAATGAAATATCTGAAATGGATACGAGAAAAATTAAGTTTTTCAACTTATCTGCAGTTATTTACCAAAGTTACGTGAAGAAGCACCGAGTGATAAAACAAAAGCTCAGGTAACTTTACACCGATACGGAGACGCGGAAGGCCTAACGGGTTGCCGGGGCTCCGGCTCGAAGGGCAGGAGTAGGTTTTTAGTCAGTGTGAGTCTTAACACTTTCTCTTGCCTAACCTAAGACGGGAGAAGTCATTAAATGATTTCCTCCTATTTAATAAATTGAAAACAATAAACATTTTTCGTAGCACAGGAAACAACATAAAACAAACATTATATCCAGAGGATTTCCGAAAAATAAGTGACACATTGGCTTGAAACTAAATGAATCAATAAATACTACGTATACACAGTAAAAAGAGCTGTTATGAATAAGAAATAAATAATTATTAATGTACTTTTTCCTCAAAGTAGAAGTCAGGTAAGAAAATGAATACACATTTCATCTAATGGTAGGTAATCAGCGCCTTCTACCTCTATACTTATTATACTCTTTGGCGCCTTCCATGGACACCCACAACACCATAGACGACACAAGTGCTGTGAGAACCTTTTTAACTGAGAGTACTGAGACTAAGGTAGCACTCGACTAACGAAGCAAACCAATAAGATAAATAAATAAAACTCATATAGATAGACAATGTCATATCTTTTATTACAGAAAAGTTAAGCAAAGATGGATATTTACCTACCAAATACATACTATACATAACATCATGAATTTTATCCCCGAAGGGGTACTACTGTACAATGTAACACCCACTTTTCACTATTTATGTTATGAGTCCCATGTAATATGGGGTGAGCGTATTGCCATATACCGGGCACAATTCCAGAGTCCGTTACTACAGACAAATTTCAGACCTACCTAAGACCCACCATTAATTCTGTTATGGTTATCAGTCCTATGTAAAAGATAATGTGTTTGTATACTCACTTCTAGGTTCCATACAATGTACCTATACAGAGAATTATCGAAAAACTGGATAAATCGACCCGTCAAATATGTACCTGAAGAAATCTAAGTAGCTCGTGCAAGCTTTCACAATCATCTTCAACAGCCTATAAGTGCCCACTGCTTACCAAAGCCTCTTCTCACACGAAGAAAGTTTGAGCATTAATCACTACGCTTGCTCAATGCGGGTTGGCGATTTCAAACTTACAACATACATACATAACATCACGCCTTTTATACCCGAAGGGGTAGGCAGAGGTGCACATTATACCACTGTACAATGTAACACCCACTTTTCACTATTTATGTTATGAGTCCCATGTAATAGGGGGTGAGCCTATTGCCATATACCGGGCACATTTCCAGACTCCGTGCTACTACTGAGAATTTTTTTAAAACCCAGGAATCGAACCCAGGAATCGAACCCGGGAATCGAACCCGAGACCCCTTGCCCGGCAGTCGCACTTGCGAACACTCGGCCAACGAGGCAGTCTTATAATTCAAACTTATAATTAGTTTAGTAATCATAAAACCAGGTTAACTTACGACGTTTCACTTCACCGTTTGTCAGTGGTGTCTAGATAATCTTAGAAAGTACATATAACATGGAAAAAGTCACATTGGTACTTGCCGTTGGTAGGTTTCACTAGGTAGGTAGGTGCAAACGTTATACGACTTAAAAATCGACAGTTGTGCTAATGACAGCTCAAAAAACGTAAATAAGGTAAAATATTTGTAAATAAACAAATGAATAACATCAAGTTGTTAATAATTTAATAGAAAAAATAAAATTTTATAGTGAATTGTACCTTCAAGCTACAAAAACAAGTAATGTTTTCCAGCAACTCAATATTCTTGGTTGACACAATTTGTGTTAGTATTTATATTGAAGTAGGACAATATTAATTAATGAAATATTTTTAATAATTTATAATTGACGTTAACATTTAACCACTATAGACGTGGCTAATTGGTAAACAATATGTGACTCAATCACCTTTTGTAAAAACTCAACACATTGTATTTCATATAAGTTGCTTATTGTGTCTCGTTGGCCGAGTGGTCGCAAGTGCGACTACTAGGCAAGGGGTCTCGGGTTCGACGCCCGGGTCGGGCAAAGTATTTTTAAAAATTTTCAGTAGTAGCCAGGAGTTTGGAATTATGCCCGGTATATGGCCATAGGCTCACCCCCTATTACATGGGACTCATAGCATAATTAGTGAAAAGTGGGCGCCTTAGACAGACATATTCTGACCAGATTGGCGATACTTATATTAAAGCAGGGCCAAATTAAAAGCCCGACGAGCATGCATGAAAAGATTAATGACGGGAAAGAGGTATCTAAGAATTGTAGCAATTGACTTTACATACTCTCTGCCTACCTGCATGGGAGACAGGCGTGAAGTTACGTATGTATGTATATTTAATTAGTAACAGGACCCTTCAGTAACGGAGATCTGATAAAAAGACAAAAAATGAGTTTGTTTGTTACGCTGCCCATTAACGTAAACTGTTGGATCAATTTTGATGACATTTAAAGAACCTTAGAGCCAGATGCAAGGTTTTATCATAAACAAAAGCAGGCCTAAACGCGAGTACATCAGTTGCAATTATGATTTAAGTTGAATATTGTATTGGTATTAATTAATTATTATTGATGAGCTGGGTCCAGCGTCACAACTGACTACATACTGATGTCATGCAGTGCGCACTCATACTATAACGTCAATCTAACTGTTACAATAACAAGTATTATTGGATCATTTTATTATTACTTTAAAACTAAAACAAGCAGATGAACCAGTCCTAGATGAATAAGTAAAAGGGTAAGATGTTTCTATAACGTCTTTAAAACTAATATAATCAAACAATAATCGTTAATAATTAATTAATACAGAGTGAGAATTATGAAGTTTCTTGCTCGTTCTTCTCAATTCGAATCTACATTTTGGAATGAGCACCTAGCTTCACTGACGGACTGACTGACAGACTATTATTTATTTTGTATGTGTTGACGTTTCAAAAGTACCAAATTATGGTTTAATTGAAATATATTCTTTGACTTTGACTTTGAAAAAAGTGACTTGTAAGTCGACATATTCCTCTCGGAAGGTGATAATACCTACAACTAATTGCCTACAACATTTGCCCTGAGGTCCCCAGTCCGAAAGTGAAGCTAGAAACACTTAAATCAAACCATTATTACTTTTTATTTATTGGTGTTTTTGTAGTTCCGATTTTTTTAACCAAAACCATAAATGTTGAATATCTCAGAAACTAGCCATTTCCGGACCAGAGACCTCATAGCTAATTTTGTAGGAAATTAGTTGTATTAACTCCTGTTGAGGGGAATACGTCGAGTTACTAGTCCCTGTATAATCAAAGAGCGTAGGTATATTAAGGGTTCACTTATACTCTCACTGTATAGTTTATTTAAATGACAAAGTCTGAATTTAAACAAATTCCAATGACAAACATTAATTTTCATTAAATTACTCGCCCGTATAAAATTTACGCGAGATTGAAATCATTCACTTTTTTATTAAAAAATAACAATACGCGATCAATCACACAGTGCGCTCCGACACGCGGCCCCGCGACCTTATTATTTACAAAACAGTAAAAAATACACGCTTTTTGTAAAAAAACTGTGATTTCGTAAATCCGCCGCGCGAAATTCTCTAAATCATTTTATAAAAAGCCATTGTGATTTTTAAACCCTTGCTTTTTTGGAAAAAGTAGACATGAGCGAGCCACGCTTTTATGTTTACGAAAAAAACTTTAATTCACTATGGCACACCCAGTGACCTACATATATTTTTGGCATTTCTGTAAAGCACCCCTTTATTACCCGGTTTTTTCATAATTGAATTAAATCCTTTGGAAAAAAGGGTTGGGTAAATTCCCAGTAATTTTGCTTTTTTTGCAAGTTTTAGTTCGCGGCAAAAATTATGCGCACTGTCAAAATTTCGCGCCATTAAGTTCGGACATCTGCCGAGAAAAAAAGTTAACAATGCAAATAGGGGAAGGACGACATTTTTAGGGGAATTTCGTCGTTTTCGTTTGCAAAATGAAAGAAATGCATTTAAACTATAACGAAGCGATGTCCCCTCATTTCAATATTAATGTCCGAGTGTTTATTTTTTGAGAAAATTAAGCGATATGTCCATACCGTAGAGTTCAAAGTCGCGTGGTGCCATGTTGTGTTTTGCATTTTATGGCTTTGGATTTTTATTATTTATGGATTTTACGGACGCAGTACAAAGATTTAATGTTGAATAAATTATTATTGGAAATGTGGATTTTATTGTTTAGTAAAAATTGAGAGTTTTGTGTCTAGGTAGGGATCCGTAACGTTTACAGAAATGACTTGTACAACTTTTATTTCTTTAAACTAAAAAGTTTATTTATTAACAAAAGCGTTCAAGTACAGGTGATCAACATTCCTTTTGTGTAGCCCTCTATCTATAGCATTATTCTATACAGGTACAAACACCTACCCCACAGCGCGTGCTCCATTCTACCACAAACTCCGATGTACTACAAAAGGAAGGTAAAGTGAACGAGTGGATTGCGGCAGCACATTATAATATACTACATCACGCGTCGTAGTACATGTAGTCCATCAGCAGGGCGGCAGCTAGGAGCAGACCCTTTTCTTCTACTGAGATATTTTGTTCGAAGTTCAGCCCGAATCTGCAGGGAGGGAATGGGTACAGCAAACGATTAAGTGCAACGTGCATGTTTGTAAGTTTCGGTTGAGTAGAACAATACTTAAACTCCAATTATCACACTAATATGTATTATAACTAAAGTGGAAGTTTCTTTGTTTGGATGTATGTCCATCAATCCTGCAAACTTTTTAAAATACAAAAAAATAAAATTCGCGGGCAAAGCGGCGGGTAAAAGCTAGCCATACAATAAATAACGTTAATAATTTGGGCACACGTAAAAGTGATATTCTACTAGTAATGTTATAAGTCCCATGCTATAAGGATTTTCGAAAACAAAAATAGGTGTTTTGTTGATAGGCTATGCTTGGGCGTGCCGCGGATTTTGTCGACGACAAAATCCCTTGCCATGCCATTCCAGTCTGCGTAAGCTGCATTCCTTAGTCCCCCAATAAATGACGTAAAAACTAACTTGTCAGAAATTGGTGCGAAGATTAGAGCATGTGTGAGCCCCTGCCAGTGTCTGCAGGTGCTGCCCACTGCCGTGCCATCAGGCCGCACTATCTGGAAGTGCACGTCGCGAAAACAGCTCAGTGTCATGTACGGACCTGATGGACAAGGGTACAAGGTTATAATCTGTTTTACCTTTCTAGCTCTCTTCTATTTAGAAAATATTGGTTGATGACAAAATAAAGGTCAATCTTAATCAAAAGATCTTCGAATATTTTTTTTATAGGTGAAGTTAGATCGATCCTAAATGTGTTCGTTTATTGATAATTTCAATAGTCTGAATACAAAACCTTAACCTCCTGTGAAAGCATCCTACCTAGGAGTACTATACAGATATATTTCGAAGAGGAACTCACCAATAATGAGAAATAGAGTATCACCATCGCCATTCTTGATTACGTATATGGGTCTGAGGGCTGTCCACTGCTGCTCCACTTTACCAATAAGCTGTTCAGGAGGCGAGTATATTTCCAGGTGCTGCAGCTGACAGGGGAAGATCCTGGCAGTGCAGGAGAAGGGCCGGTGTATCCTCATCACCTCTTTACCCTGCTCGTTCATCACCCTCAGCTCGAGTGGACGTAGACCATAGCAGAAATATCCTACCCACCAACTTCTAATTACAAAATGGAAATATAAATTATGAGTTACGCCATTGAGTCTTGAACTTTAAAATACTTAAAAGATTTGTAGATTTGCAGATGAAATAGGAAGTATAGATTTTACGAGCCTTATTATTTTCCTAGAAAAACATCCACTGTTAAGTTTGTTGCGTACCATCGGCAAAAAATGTTTGAGACATGTATGTACGATACACAATTTTTTTTTTTTTATACTTTATAGGTCGACGTTTGACCACCATCTCGCCTGATGGTAAGCGATGATGTGGCCGACGATGGAGCACGCCTACCTATGAGCAACCTGTTCACTCGGGACTTGAAGACACCCAAGTCATATTTGACGGGAAACACAGCCTCTGGCAAGGAATTCCATTCCTTAGCGGTTCGCATGAGGAAGCTTGACGCGAAACGCTTCGTTCGAATGGGTGGAATGTCCACCATATAAGAGTGGCGTCCCGCCGTTCGTCTGGTGGTACGGTGGTGAAATGGACTAGGGGGAATAAGTTTGTGCAATTCCCACGCACACTCACCGAAATGTATCCGATAGAAGACCGAAAGGCTTGCGATTTTGCGCCTGTGTTCGAGGCTTTGTAGCCGAGCCTCCACAAGCGAATCGTCATTGATGAGCTTCTTGGCACGCCTCTCGATGGATTCGAGGGCTTCCAACTGGTATTTCGCTGAGCCATCCCAAAGATGGGAGCAGTACTCCATACAAGACCGAACTTGTGTTTGTCGTTGATTATCGTTCCACTAGTCTTTGCATCTACGACTTACCTATTCTCCTCTTCAATAGTATACATTAGTGTCTGGTCGGAGGTCCTCACGAAGAACCTGTTCTTCTTCCCTCGTAGGCACAGCACGTTCTTGACTCGGAGCCTCTTCGTGACATGCAGCCTATCGATTGGCAGCAAGTCGTGGAGAAGTGGGAGTTGAGGACTCTAGAAACGTCAACTTAGATCCAGTTTACTAGTTCAAATTTTGAGAAGTGATGATAACCCTCCCTCTATCCTTAATCCCCTAAAGCCTAATCCTTATCTTAAAAAGCAGCCAACACACTTGTTACTTCTTTGGTGCTGCGGGTGATCCAGTCGTTCGCCGCCTTATTCCATAAAGAAAAAATTGAAAACTTTCTCAAGAAATACTCTATACATAGCAGCAGCCAGCAGTTTTCGATGTTAAAGCGAACAGACAGACCTTGGTTAATGCATAAATACTGGCAACAGTAACAACTGCAAAGTTGCAATAATGTCTTTATTAAAAGTCGGTAAATTACCCAGACTAATTACAGTGCTATATTTATGTTGTATCCAGGTCATAAATGACACATTTCTATATTTAGATTATAAGGCGAATAATCAAGTTATTATAATAATATGTGGTGACGTGACGTCAATACTGATAGACTGACTACTTAGGCACTATGTCCAAATTAGGTATTTAGGTACATCTATACCTTTATTATGGCGCACGGGTAATATAGTGCTGTCAATTTGGTCATTGTTGTATCATTTATTTGTTTACGCAATGTTATAATTAGAAACATTGATGAATAATTATTATTACTGAATATTTTGTCAGTATTTAAAGCAAAATGCCTAGGACACCTAGACTACATGTTTATTTTATGAAGATCTAACTCAATGGCGTGCTATTGGAGAGGCTTTTGTCTAGCGATGGAAGAAACCGGGCTGATGATGGGGATGACTAAATAATGAGTATCATTTGTCACAAGCAACTATAAGCAAGATAGATTATATGAAGACATATAATTGAAAACTATTTAAGTTGTGAAAACAAGTATACCTACGTAATTCAAAATGTATCATTTTGTGGGTAAAATACAACAGAAGATCTCTACAGAACACCCAGCCCCGTTGCAGTATTGTTTAACGGAAATACACAAACTGCATGTGCATAGAAACATCTTAAACAGAATGAAGAAAGAAGTATGACGAAAGTGCATAGCGAAGGACTTCAATTGCGCGATTTTGATTGATTTCACTTTTTGTGTGGTGAACAAGTAGACACATCACCTGATGGTAAGCAATCGGCGCCGTCCATAAAACACCAGAAGATTTACAAGTGCGTCGTCGACCTTTTAGGGCATAGGGAATTGAGGATTTGGGAGAATGGGGAGGGGAGTAATTGAGTCTCCGAAAACCTCACTCAAACACAATTTAGGTATCGCTTTATGCCAGGTTACTGTGAGGCCGTGGTCCTCCAGCCGGCCCATTCGTGCAGAAGCAGGGCTCACTCGCACTTGAAATTATTATTGAATTTGAATACACTATTCTAAGACCGTTATAAGACCAGATACTCTACTTTCGCCCACCTGTATGGACAGCACAGGTTCGTCATGGCTCACGGCTGCCTGTGGTATAAGCTTCTCAACTTCAGGGAAGGGAGAATGAGGTGGTATGGGAGTCGCCTGCATCATCATCAGTAGCCACTGGTCAGTTACCAACGTAATACCATCTTCTTGTTCATCAAAATGTGTTCAAAACTTGTCACTTTATCTTGATAGACATTAATGACATGTGCATAGATACTGATTAGATTTGGAGAAAAAGGATGTTACTATGGAGTTCTCCTATGTTTTGTGAGTCGTAAAAAGATTCCCAGTCCATACTTTTCTTTCTTATTGTAATTCAGTTTGATCAAATAAATAGAATCAAGTTGCATCAGTACCACCTCTCCTTTTCAATTCATTGCATCTAATACAAACAAAGAATAAAAATAAAGTAAGCCTTTATTGTTGTTATTTTTTCTGTACCGTATGTTACACTGATCTATTAAACTATTACACTATTGTATTGTACTATTGCTACTTAAATTAAATATCGCCGATCGGATTGTTTTTTCTTACAGCTTGTCCCACCATAGGCCTCCTCCAAAGGTTTCCATGACTCTCTATCCCTAGGTATGCTGGGCTCGCTGCCATTGCAAAGGTTTCCATGACTCTCTATCCCTAGGTATGCTGGGCTCGCTGCCATTGCAGCGGTAAGTCCCCTCTTTGAGGAGTGGCTTGAGAGACGCTACGGCGTCCTCACCTACCGCCTGACGCAGGTCCTCACCGGACATGGAAGTTTCGGGAGGTACCTGTGTCTGATGGGGCGGGAGGAAACGCCCGGGTGTCATCACTGCGAGGACCGCCCTGAGGACACGGTGGAACACACTGTTGCGGAATGCCCTGCGTGGGCTGAGCACCGCCGTGCCCTCAGGGAAGTGATCGGCGATGGAGACCTCTCGCGTCCGGGCCTAGTTCAGGCCATGATGCGGAGCGAGGGGGACTGGGATGCCGTCTCCTCCTTTTGCGAAGCAGTCATGCTGGCTAAGGAGGAGGCGGGACGCGCGAGGCAGCGAAGCGCTGCCTCCTCGCAACCCAGCCATCGCGAAGGACACACCGGGCGTCGGGGATCGCGGGACGATCTCCGGCCACCGTAAGCGCGGGCCTGCGGACGGCGAGCATGGGTGGCTCCCCGTCCGACCAGAAACAGACCCGAGCGTACGGCGCGTCGCGTTCCGCGCGCGCCTCAAAGAGCCATCAGACCACCACAGATGGGGCCCAATAGGGCCGATGCCGATTCGGAGTCGCGGAGAACCTAACGGGTAACCGGGGCTCCGGCTCGACGTGCAGGAGAAGGAACGGGGTGGTTTTTAGTCAGTAAGAGTCTGACACTCCCTTCCGCCTCACCCAGGCGGGAGCAGTCATTCGATGATTTTCCCCCCTTAAAAAAAAAAAAAAAAAAAATCCCTAGGTATGCGGGTCCATTCTAACTCTGCGACTTGTCTTATATCATCTTCCCAACGTTTGCGCTGTTTCCCTTAATTTCTTGTTACCCCTTGGGTATCAGTATCATTCTGTTATTGCATACAAATAAAGAATAAGATCACATAAATAGTGGTTTTGTTTATAAGTAGATAAATACGACATGGTTAGGTTTCAAAGACATTATATTTTTAAAATATTTCTGCTTGTGTTAAGCGCATTTTGTTCTAAAACATAACATAACATCACGCCTTTATTTCCAAAGAGGTAGGCAGAGGTGCACATTATGGCATTTTATGCCACTGGACAATTTAACACCCACTTTTCACTATAATTTATGTTATGAGTCCCTTGTAATATGGGGTGAGCCTATTGCCATATATCGGGCACAATTCCAGACTTCCGTGACACTGATAATTTTTGAAAAACCCAGTAGTACTTTGCCCGATCCGGGAATCGAACCCAAGGCCCCTTGCCCGGCAGCCGCACTTGTGACCACTCGGCCAACGAAGCAGTTTCTAAAATACAACCTTAATAACCAATATCATACTCATTTATTAGATGCTTAGGCACATCCTTAGTTAGTTTGGGCTCGCTGTCATTGCAGCGGTAAGTCCCCTCTTTGAGGAGTGGCTTGAGAGACACTACGACGTTCTCACGGTACGGAGCGAGGGGGACTGGGATACCGTCTCCTCCTTCTGCGAAGCAGTCATGCTAAGGAGGAGGCGGAGCGGGTGAGGAAACGAACTTCTTCACGACCCGGCCGTCACGAGAGACACCCCGGACGTCGGGGATCGCGAGACGATCTCCGGCCACCGTAAGCACGGGCTTGCGGACGGCGAGCACGGGTGACTCGCTGCCCGACCAGTACCAGGCCCGAGCGTACGGCGCGTCGCGTTCCGCGCACGCCTAAAGCAGCCATCAGACCACCACAGATGGGGCCTAACAGGGCTGATGCCGATACGAAGCCGCGGAAGACTTATACTTTTTAACAGCCAATAATAACTTGCGCAAGTTAGAATAAAATATGTACCTAATACTAGTCTATTAATAATTTTTGACCAGTTTCCAATATCAGAAATAATCCCTATTTATTATTAATGTATTTTCAATACATTTTATTGATCCTGCGCTAACCCATACAATAAATTCGCAGTTACGCTCTGAATACATGCAAATGTTCGAATTATTATTACGAATGTGAAATTGGGGGAATTCATTTAAATTTTTGTGTAAAAAAACTGGGAAATTGTATCGCTTTTATCAATCGGGTGCAACAATATATGCTATTTACAATAGTTGTACGGTGGCCATGAATTTTAGATTGTGAGATGAGATTGTCTATCGTAGTTTCGGAATTGCTTACTAAAAACTGAAACAGAACGGACTAATGTAATGTAGGATGATATTATTTATTACACCTTTTCATGCTACTTAAATAAATATCGTACATAAATGTGAAAGATCTTCATTTATTTGTTTTGTTAAAAAGATTACATTTAGTCAAAGATATACATATTTTAAGATTACTGATATTCTGCAGCTAAACAACACTCAATTCAAATTATTGAAGATAATAAATATAAATTCTTACTACACACTCTATTATAAAAGTGTCCCAAAATAATCTCCAGTAACTTGGTCACCGCTCTTTTTAATGGCGCACGCGCCGGACCGCGCACCATTTTATGCAAAAACGCAAATTTCGTTCGAAATTTGAAACGCTCTATTGTGTTGCCAGCTTGAATGAATAAAAATAATTGTTGCCAAGTTGAATTTTTGGGGGAAATGCGTTTTGCGCAGGTCTCGTCCATTGTGTGCGCAGGAGTGTGCCGAATAGAATTAACGATAGTTTTTATGCAAGCGACATTTTGAATTAATAAGGATTTTTGCATGGTCAAACTGCATATATTGATTATTTTGAGAATGTGAGGGCCCTCGATGTGGGGCACTGTTGTACTAGGTCAGTTATTGTTCATGTTTTTTGAAGTTACAAAGTTAATGTTGGACGAAAGTTATTACTTCGAGTCTTAGATATTATAAAATAAAATAATGATTCGCAGTCATTCTTTACAAATAAAGCAACTTCACCTGATAGAATATTGCACTTGTTTTGTGTGTTGGAATGTTGGAAATGAAAGACGAATTCTCGTAAATTCATTGTTATTCACTTTTTGTACTTCAACATTTTTTAATCTCATACAATATTAAATAACATTCATACAATATAATTCTCTGTTGTTTCGCTCGATAATTTCAATTATTTCATAAGTTTTATTACACATAGGGTTCTTAATCGGATGAATCAATTAATATAATTGATGTGATATAGCTCTGTTTTATAGTATGTTTAATCTATTACATGATTTTGGATAATTAATAAGGAAATTATATAATTAAGAACTAATCTTGAGCTTACAAAAATACTTTTCAATTAAAATCTTAGTGTTGTCAAGAACATTTCAAAAAAGTACCTACAATAAAAATAAACATTTGCAAATTAAAAATAAATAATTGATTAAAGGTGTGTCTATTATAATAAATAGCCAGATATCTACACTAGATTGTCTAATTCGAGCGAAATACTAGATACATACGTAAAACATGCGCGCAATAGTAATAATATTAACAAAAACGAACATTATTTACTAACAATAAGTGATTGGCTCACTGATTCGCAACATCTCTTTCTTAAACCTTAAGGAAATACGTTTTGTTCGTAATTCTCAACAACCGTACAGAGTTGCCAGACATTTGAAAAAAATTCGTACAATTTTGTACCGCTAAAAAAGGTATAAATATATTTTTGTAACTGGCAACTTTTACGGTTTGTTTTGTTTATAGTCGTTACGACTTAGTTGATTGGACCGACTTTTCAGATTTTTAGCTGTTTACAGTCGGTCCTACAACTGTAAAATAGTCAAATAGTATCAAGAATATCATAATATAATGAAATATCGTAAATTCATCATAAAAACTTAACAAGAACATAGTGTTTCTCTTAACCAGTGTTAGATTTTTAACAAAATCTATTTACATACGTTTTTTTTAGAAAAAAAATCAAGCTTTTCCTACTAAATTGGCTAAAAAGCAAGGCACTTCGTGATAAAGTATTTACTAAGTTTATTATATACAAAAATATAGCTTGTATATCTAAATAAATATCATCTAAAAATATAATATTTTGTATCACAATGACTTTATTCTGTACAAAAATGTGGTCCATAGGTTTGTATATCCCAGTTTCGTTATAATTAAATTGTTTATAAAAATATAGCACCTCTGTATATAATTTAAAATACTTTTTTTTATTAAAATTTGTGTTGAAGCGAGTGAATGTGCGTCTATATAACATTTACAGTATATTCTTTTGTCTTAATATTTTATTTCATAATAAAATTGGTATTTTATGATTTAGCTTTTTATCTGAAAGGTCCAATTCACATTAATAGTTTTTCAAAGTAAGAAATAAATGAATTAATTAGCTGCAATTAACACTAAAGAAACTTTTTTTATGTATGTACAATATGGCGGTGTTGCAACACCAAAAAATTTTATTATCTACTAATATGATTTTGAATAGTATTTCAAGGGGAATTAAATAAAAAATACAGTATTTCGGTAACTAAACAATCACATAGTACTTAGATATATAACCTAAACTAATAATGGAGAAAATTTACTAAATATTATTTTTTATATTTACACGCTATCTGACCTTGAAGATTTGTGTAATATTCTAAAGTAATTTATATACGGCATTGCAAGTTTATTTTCTATTTGATCGGTAAATATAACCCATATATGAAAGAAATATAATGTATTGCACTAAGTATTACTTAGTTTTTGTAAGAAGTCTGTGTTTTTATATAAAACATAGATTATTTATTATCTTTTGTCAACACTTTGCACATTTTGACTTTTGCTTAACTGGGATTCCGTATCTGTCGTGATTTTGTGTTAATACATATAATGCATACGTTTCAGTACGTAGGTAGTTCGTTTAATAATGTAAAACATTTCTAGTTGCGGACTACACATTCAGTAGTGTTCCTCAAACAACGGAAATAAATTTGACGTTTCTGACAGCTGTCAAAAGTGACATCTGTCAAAAATGATACTTTAAGATTCTTTTTCTGAGACTATTAGCTCAATTATTGCTTTCAAATTTTTGATGAATACGATTTTAAATCTTCACACATTTAATATCATCATCTGAAATATTCAGCTTGTACTGTCTATACATTCAACGCATACATTCTCCATCTTAACCCTGGTTTTGAACACAAATCATCACTAGAAAACATCGATTTTGGTTCCGTACCTATTACTTCGAATGGATACAACTGCATTATTAAACTGATGACGATATAAACTATCATTTAATTAAAAAATAAATGTTTTTGGCAAATTGCAGTAAGTAGATAGTACCTACTATATTTTCTCAACAGATGATTTTTATAAATATAAAATACAACAGTGAAATTAAGTAATTTGCCGTTTGAATACGTTAAATAAACATGTAAAAGTTCATGATACATATTTTCAATAGAATAAAGATAGTTTCTTTTGCGTGTATACAATAATAAGCTACTATGTCGATATGTAGATTCTTATGTCTAAGTAGATATGCGATTAGGAACAAAAAGGTAGGTACGGAACATTGCGTGCGTCAGTGCACTGTCTTATTGAGAATCTTATTCGTTAAGGCACTCATGCGCGTCTTTTTCACTCAAAACTCATGGAAGAGATCTCTAAATTGTGTTTATAATGATGTATTTTAACTTTTTCAGCTACCAATACTCTTAGCCAAGAAATTCTATTTCGCTCCAATGGAGTATAAGTATTGTAGTACAGCGCCATCTCCTGATTTGCACTGGAACTATTAAGACACGATTGTCTATTTTCCACTTCTTTGCCACTACGAAATATAATATTTCACGTATATTAAAATGATAGTTTTTGGTGAGGATGTCTCTTTTCAAAACCAGACCAGATTAACATTGTATTGAATATAATATTTAATTTGATTGGCACTAAGTTTCAGGTTGTGAATAAGAGATGGCGCTATCTAAGTAACCTGTGTCCTTTACGCTCCGAGGTCCATGTCGAAGCAATGCTGCCTTGGATGAGAGTGCGGGGAGTGCGGCGCGTGATGGTGTCCTAGGAGTAATGCTGGTAGGCCTTCGCCTAAAGCCAGGCCTGCTCCAAGGCCTAGTGCGCTTTCTGATAGCAGGGATGATGAACCTAGACAAAAAGGATTTTTATATTAGAAACTTATAATGTTACACTGTACTTACATAATTATAATTGGTAGGTTCTACCCACGGAAGAAGTGAAGGTAATATTTTATTCTGCCGTCATCAACAAAGACATGAATTAATCGAAAATTGTTTTAATTTTCCAGTTCTAAATTCTACCTAACGGTACAACACCACAATGTTGTGATTGAGGGACTTGATAAACATTAAAAAGTGTGACATCCAACTCCCCTACGACGCGTGAAGATTATGGCTATGGCCACAGACTGTCGTGTCATTTTATCCGGATAATTGCCAATCTCTAGTCACGGGCCTTCTTGTTAGTTACCATAATTATTATAACATTTTGAACCACTGCTAGAAATAAGTTTGTCTAAAGAAATTATACTACATCGATATTACTTCACGCCTTTTATCTCCGAAGGGATAAGTAGAAGTGCACATTACGGCATTTAATGCCACTGTACAATGTAACACCCACTTTTCACTGTTTATGTTATGGGTATATGTAATAGGGGGTGAACCTATATTGCCATATGCCGGGCACAATTCCAGAGTCCGTGCTACTACTGACATTTTTTTTAAAAGCTCAGTAATACTTTGCCCGACAGTAATAATCGCACTTGGCAAACGACGCAGTCTTATTATACTAATGAGTAAATCATCTTGTTGTTATGTTCTTACCAGCAGTGTGGAAGGTGTTGGAGTCGTCGTGCAGCATGGAGGAGATGTTCCTGTCGGCTGCCTCCGCCACCACGTTGCTGAGGCACAGCTGGGATGTAGGAGACGAGCAGAGCATTGGATCCCCTGGACAAGAAACACCGGTATTAGTCAGTTTTGTAGAATACAGGGTAAAAATCCGTGTTACACAACACATATAATTTTGTTTTAAGCTAAATGCAGTTTACTATTGGCCAAATTAGTGACTCAAAACAAAATTAGATACTAATTTACTTGCTATTTTAAAACGACTGATATTTCTGGCAGTATAATTATTAATAAATGTGTATTGAATTGATGTACTAACACCTAATTAAAAATAAATAAAATGATTAAATACAACAGCTAAATAAAATCACTTAAATCGAACAAGTATTTTTTTTTTTTACCAGTACCGAAAATCCTTACTTTCCGCTTTAACGCCGTAACTACTAAACCGATTGCTTTGAATTTTTGCAGATGTAAAGTTAGAAGTCCAGATTAAATAATAGGATACTTTTTATCCCGGAAAAAATGTGATATTCCCGAGGGAACACAAAAGTATTGGTATAGATTGCGCTGTGTGTATTGGTATGTTATTAAGTCACATGCTACTTTTTCCTTTTGTGACGCGATCGAAGCTGCGGGTAAAAGCTAGTGTTGAATATTTCAGAAACTAGCGACTTTCGGACCAGAGACCTCAGGGCTGATTTTGTAGGAAATTAGTTGTATTATCACCTCCCGAGAGGAATACGTCGAGTTACAAGTCACCCTGTATATTTCACCCTTTAATATATTCGTATAACATTCGTGAGACATACTAAATTAATTATTAAGTTTTCGGCTTTCTTACATAACTGTTTGAGGAACTCGACTCAAGCCATGCTAGGGGCCCAACTTCCTGATCATTGATCAGCATTCCGTGGCACTCGATGCGACTATCGCACTGCTGCTAGCTCTAGCATGGCTTGAAAGTAGTAGACTTCCTTGACAGTTATTAGTAAGTTCTTTATACTAAAGGCTTCCAATCTATTAGACATTAAAAAGGCCTAATTGTTTTTCAAAATACTGAACCACGGATAGAACAACTTGGGCGAAGGATAACGTCCACGAGAAAGTGATTCGCCGAGGTCACGACCCTCAGCATAAAGGACAAACGACGTACGAAGGAGGATCGAGGGTAATATTACGTTCTACAGTAAATCTATATAGCTTAGACGATTTTGTTTTGCTTATTTTTTTTCATAAAAACTGAATGTTTTTTGGCAAACTGTCGTGGCGGCTCGGAGGTTTAAGACGCCTGCTTCTCATGCATGAGGGTGCGGGTTCGAAACCTACCAACGACAAGTACCAATGTGACTTTTTGCGATTTATATGTACTTTCTAAGATTATTTAGACACCACTGACAAACGGTGAAGGAAAAACATCGTGAGGAAACCTGGACTTATAATTTCTAATTATAAGTTTGAAATCGCCAACCCGCATTGAGCAAGCGTGGTGATTAATGCTCTAACCTTCTCCGTGTGAGAAGAGGCTTTGCTCAGCAGTGGGAATTTATAGGCTGTTGATGATGATGATGATGAAAGAAGTGTTACCTTGCGTGACGGGGTTGTGCGAGTCATCGTCCATGAGGTCCTCTATATGTGCGAGGTTGAGTACGGCGTCACTGTCCTCGTTGCTCAGCAGGTTCGGGGTGGGAGATAGACGCATCTGTTCATATAGAAATATTTTTGTAGAGTTATTGTAGTAAGACATTTCCCAAGGTTAACCTTCTTAAACAGTTGAGTGAGTATGTCACTGAACTTCTCTCAAACGAGTGGACCGATTTTGATGAAATTTTTTGTGTATGTTCAAGGGAATGGTTTAGATTCACAAATCAACCCGGCAGATGGCGCTGCAGTCGATGTTTAGGTTATTTATCCGAAACAGCTGAACTAATTTGAATGAATTTTTGTTTATACATTCAAGTAGATATTTATGCACGACAACGTCTGTTGGGTCCGCTAGTATATATATATATATACTTTTATATTAGATGGGACTGACGTTTGACGTATCTCGCCTGGTGGTAAGCGATGGCGTGGCCTACGAATATAACATAGTAATTAGGTACGATTTACAATGTAATCAAATCATATGTAGGTTTAAATTATTTTATCTTCCTTCTTAGCTGAATAATCACAAGTAGAACTACTCAGCAAGAGGTTGGAGTATAATCCCCGAATCTGACAAACTTTATCGGATCGGATTTCAGATGTCCAAATCTTCTTACCCCCAGTTATTTGAGGTGAGGTTATAAATACATTCTTCCCACACAATTGAACCAATAAAACTATATAACTAGAGAATTGTATTGTGAACCGGATTGAAAAAGAGTAACCTATGAAGTTTCTTGCTCGTTCTTCTCCTTAAGAATCCACACCATGAAATGAGCAAATTGCATCATTTTTAATTTTTTTGTTGACGTTCAATAGCGCTTTCCTGGTCTAATTGAAATAAATGATTTTGACTTTCAACTTTGAATTATTATTTTGGTCATTAAACAAACACACTTCACACTGTTTAATATTAAAACAATTCCAATGTTTAAATTTACCTTAATGTCTTTATGGTTGAAGAGGTGGTCTGGCACGGGTTCCAGACACAAGTCTGGCTCGAGACAGCCCAGTGATAGGCCCTCGTCTCGACTGAGGGGGGAACAGGAACCTAGCTTTAGACCATCTGTAAGTAAACATAATAATTAATTTAAAAAAATATATATAATTTGTTTAATTAGTCAAGTTAGCGTTGGAGGGATGTATAAATGTTTTTGCTATTGTATTTTCAAGTAACTTTAGATTGTTATTTGTTTAAGGGACGCGTCCAAAGTGTTTGTAGTTACAGCAATAACGTATCAATAATATAAAGACTACTGGTAATTTTATAGGTTAATTGACATAACATAACATCACGCCTTTGACCCCCGAAGGGGTAGCCAAAGGTGCACATTATGCCATTGTACAATGTAACACCCACTTTTTCACTATTTATGTTATGAGTCCCATGTAATTGGGTTAATTAAAATCTGGTTTATACATATAAAGCCAGACACACTATACAGTGTTAAGCTAAATTAGATTAGAATAATCATTAGCATTAAAAGAAGTTTCACATTCGCAATTGTGTTAACTATGTATTACAAAAAAGTGGCAAAGGACGAAAGCGGAGGAGTTAAAAAATAGCCTTTGTACTATTTCATAGTTTTATGTTTATGAACAAATTTTATTATTCATGGTTATTTTCGCCAGACACATGTGTCACCATGGCCAGATCTTTGTTTTTGTATGAAATAAGCCGGTAAACGAGCAGACGGATCACCTGATGGTAAATAATCGCCGGGCATCGACACTCTGAACACTAGAGGCATTACAAGTCCGTTGACGGATTTTTGGTGATTAGGAATTTGAGAATTGTTGGGGATTCGGGGGTTGGGGTGATTGGGGAGGGGTGGTAATTAGGCCTCCGTTGTTGGTTATATTTAGTGTTTAGTGAGGGTGTAATATAGTGGTATAGATAATGCAAGGTGTGAGTACCAATAGCAATGTATTGAGGAGTCGTACCGAGCGCGTCGAGGGCGGACAGACACTCCGCGGAGGGCATGTCGCGCAGCAGGTCGGGGGGCTGCTCGCCGAACTCCATCAGGGACGCTGGCTCCGACTTTGGTAGGACCAGCTCCTGGAAGGATAAAATGATGATGATGAGTTAAAATTTTGTATTCATTTTCAAGTTACGCACAGTCGGATTTATTTGAATAACCAGCGAATCTAACGAATTGCCAGAGCAATAAAAACAATGAGTTCATCCTGGATAAATATGATTGAATTCCTTGATGGCGTACTTTAAAAACGCCACTTCAGACAATACGTAGAAGATGTGTATCTTATTCTCCAGTTGTTTTTAGCCTCTGTACAGCATTCATAAAACCTACGTTTAAAGGCTATAGAATTTAGTTTAGAGAAGACAGTACTGACCGGTGCAGCAGTGGGGGTGGCGGCGGGCGGCGCGGCGCGCAGGTCGGGCGAGGTGTCTGCGGCGGAGTCCCGGCCCGAGTCGCGGCCCGAGTCGTCCGTGTGCGGGGACAGGCCGCCGTCGCCAGACACCGGCAGCCCGTGCACGCGCGCCAGGCGCTCCAACTCCTGCAACGCGGGGAAATTAGGGTATTATTTACTATATTACAATTTGGTATTTTCCTGGGTCAAAAATATATTATTTTGAATTTTCAATCTAATTACATATTCAGCAATAATTACAACTTCATTCATATATATTTGACGATATACATAATTTTCGATTTATTCAAGCAATTTTTTCATAAATAAGTGTGCTATTTGACGCGAAAACATGATGACGTCATAAGTTAGTTTTTGGTACAAAATTCATAGAACAATATCGTTTTTGAAATTTTGGTAAATTTGATTGAATTTAATTAGTTGTAAAATACCGTATTTAAGTAAAATCGCAAGTTACATGAATATACTGAGAAAAGCTCTACTAGTTTCAAACTAGGGGTTCTTACTCATGAGCAGTGCGCGCGGTCCCGGCGATGTCGCGCAGTTCACTAAGAACCCCTCTGTGGTTCGAAACTAGTAGAGCTTTGTCTTGTCTTACAATAGTTATTATAAAAATACATTACAATTATAGAAAATATGACCTTATTTTATGAATCATAGAAGAGAATGAGAAGTTTAATTTCATCGTAAGAAGCAACGACTTCCCATGAGTTATCTCAGAGAAAATCGGCGTCAAAACAACATGGCTAACAGGGTTGCCATCAGGTGACTCGTCTATTCATTCACCATGCCATATATAAAGTTCTGGTGAAAAGAGTAACTCATTGCCAGAACCGAGCAAAATTCTAATACTTTTTATCCATTGAATTATCTTAGCTATACATAGCTTTCTATTCATGATAAATGTAAGTATCATTAAATTAGTGAATTAAAGACCCGATAATATGTTGAGAAAATCAGTCCCAAAAACTTTTTTAAACATTAACAATATGAAAATTAGCCAACATACTATTTAGTTGGTACATACCTGTATTCTTAACATTAATTTCCTATTATGTATTTCAATTTGTTTTCGCCGCTGTTCACTTTGTTTCAATCTATTTACTTCATCTCGCAAACATTTGATATAGTCCACGCTGCTCTTTAGGATAGTGCCTTTGTTCGGCCGCACGTCCCTAATCACTTCGTAGAAGGGATCGTTTGTTTTAGGCAGTAACGTGCCTAATTCCTTTATCCGGTCGTTTATGTTGAAGCGGCGGCGTCTTTCAACTGAAAGGTAAATGAAGAAGGCGGTAAAATCTTGAATGTTATTTATTTTATTCTAGAATATTATGAATTAATCAATATTAACAATCGTAGCAATTAGCGTTCCAGTTTCTGTCCACCCGATGAGAGACCTGCGTGAGGTTATGTATAATGTATGAAAATTTCAATTTTACATATCGATAATTACAACTATATCGAGCATGGAACACAAGCCAAAATTGTATCTTGTATCTTCATTAAGAATTTTCAAGTAGATCTGTGGGCCGATCCCGGCGGCACTGCAATGCCGGGCCGACCCGTGACGGGAGTGGAGCGAGCCCCGAACATCCCGTCAGTTTACAAAAATCAGTTTAATATACTGGTCCCTCAGTGAGGGAACTTTCAGATATTAAGCTGAAAAGAACAGATACTACACTTTGATCTTAGCCAAAAGGCCGAGAAGCGATGCCGTGCATACAACGACCGGCGAGGGTCATTCATTCGCGGAGAATCTTAACACCGCGATTCAGAAATGGGACTTAAACTAACAACGCCATCTGATTCTATATCATGGAACTACACGAAATGCGAAAAGCGTTCGCCTGGTGGATAGATGGCGGTACTTCCTGCTGGAATGATAATGTACGTACTCATATTATGATTGTCTTTCTTCTGTCTATCCTTGGCGAGGGCGTGCATGTCTGACTCTGTGAGGAGGGCGCAGTCTCCGGCCACGGAGCTGGCGGCCGATGGAGGACCCGACGAGGAGAGGGGACCCGCACCACTGTCTAATGATAGGATGTCTTCTAGGAACTCGTCAGCCTGCAATCAAAACAATTTGATACAGTAAAATACCAGTGAATATTGAGGAGAAATATTACAAAAAATATGGATAGAAAATAATTTATACGAAGATACACAGGATGTAAATGCTATGCTACTGATATTTTTCTTATGTTAGATTTCTGAAATCGTTCTCATAATATTCTCTGTCCATCGGTACGTAGGTACATATTTATTATCTTGAATATTTTTAAGAACATTAGGTACTGTTGTCTCTAAAATCTTGAAATCGTGAAATCTTGAGCGATCCAGATATCCAAGAACGGTTGTTAATTTCGGTCATATATGAATTACAGTGAAACCTGGTTAAGTGAGACATCAAGGGACCTGCAATGTCGTTTCACTTATAGAGGTATTATACTTACCCAGTGTCTCCGATATACAGGTATAAATAAATATCTGTCTCATTTACAGAGGGTTCCATTAATAGAGGTGGACTTGGAATTACGTGTAAAATTTGTGGGTAGAATAAGAATGAGTAAACAAACAATGTTATCATATATCAATGTCAGATACAGAGGTTTATGCATATAAAATTTACTCGCTGTCTTAGTTATAGAGGTAACTATGATGATAAATCGAAAGAACAAATCCCAAATATAGAGGTTTACCTCGTCCCACTAACCAGAGGTAATTCAGTGCCAAAGTGTTGGGACCTCAGCATGAGTTCCAGTTAAAGAGGTTTCTCACTTATCCTGATCCCCACTTAACTAAGTTTCACTGTATTAGAGACGCAAATTAAGGTCGTAAGGATCAGTTGGGTGCTGATAACTTCCAACTTGTATATCTGGAACTCATTGGAGGATATGCTCAGCAGATGGTGAATTGTGGTGTCAGTTACCTCTGAATTATTACTAGCAGAGGGTATGCCGGGCGAGCGCAGTGAGGAGGAGGGTCGCTCCGGAGAGGACGCGCGCCGCGTGCCCAACTCCGGCGCAGACTGCGTCGGCGCACATCGCGGTGACACCTGCAAAGTTAATAGAGTTTATGTAAATATGGATGGTCTTTTATCTTATGATTGAATTCGATTTTTCATTTGAATAGTGTAATAAACATAGTATTTATAATGACAGGATATTTTTCCTGTTTTAAGATACATTCATTAAGCCACAGGATAACAATCAAGTAATATGGACGTTTGCACTAATGACTCCTAAATTTTACTACAAACTTAAAAACTTAAGAGTTATTTAGCGTGAGGGAACACCTAACCTTTACCTTTAGGTGTCACTTATAGTTAGTATAAAAAGTCGTAAAGTGTCACCTATCTTAGCTTAGAGGTTCCTTAAGAGATTTATAAAAACGGGCAGTGGACAGATAGTAGTAAGACCTGTAATAACACACCTGTGTCTGAGGTTGAAATGATTCACTGAGGTACTGGCGCACTTGACTCTTCTGTTTCTGTATCACGTGATACCTGGTGGGGTTCTCCAGAACTGTTCGCACCTGGAATGTTAAGGGACAGTGTTATAAATACTGAAGTTGCAACGTAAATTGGCGAGTATGATTCCGATATTGATAAAGCTATTTTAGTTATTTCGATCCTCAAATATATATATGTATGGTCATAACATAACATAACATCACGCCTTTTATCCCCGACGGGGTAGGCAGAGGTGCATTACGGCACTTAACAATGTAACACCCTATTTTCACTATTTATGTTATGAGTACCCATGTAATAGGGGGTGAGCCTATTGCCATATACCGGGTACATTTCCCGACTCCGTGCTACTACTAAGGTTTTTACAAACCCAGTAATACTTTGCCCGACCCGGAAATCGAACCCGAGACCCCTTGCCCGGCAGTCGCACTTGCAACCACTCAGCCAATGAGGCCATCATATGTACGAGTATGTTGAGTGATTTAAAATATTATTTTATTATACGGAATTCTTAAATAAATAAAAGTATTGTTAAAAATTTAAAGTTAACATAAATATTGTACTCCAAAGGGTCAGATAAAAGAGTTGTTTACCTCTTTGGGTGAAACGGGTAGAGATCTTACGTTGCTTTTAAGAATATTGTCACCACACACACCAAAACACGACGTGCGGCGTGCATGGCATACACAATTATAGATTTTACAGTACAACCCGTACAAAAATGTACAGTATTTGGTAGATATTCAAGTAATTTTGTACATACCTGTAATACTTGTGGCGGTAGGTCAACGTGAGGCGTGATCCGCGGCACCTCCGCCGGACTTGACTTCTTCTTCTCCTCATTGTCCTTGGACTGGCCTGCTTGTTGTGCCTGCAAGTATAAGTAAAGTTATTGATATTATTATCGTCACACAGTAAAGCAAATTAAATGGTTTGATTATGTAAGCATCTAAGAAACTTTCGTGTCTTTTTGTATAAGTCCTTACGTCTGCCCTATTTCTAACAGTTAAGTAAGTTGATGGTGACGAAAGTTAATGATAACTATGATTATTTAAATATTAATTATAGACAACAGCAGGAAAGATGGTTAAAAAGGAGCCTTTTCTATCGTAAGTCATTCCTAGTCAACCATTTATAATAATTTGATTACAATAAAATACGAAACGTTCGAGGTCTACAGTCCCAAGAAGACATTCTATAGACTCGTGAAGACGATGACGCAAACAAAAATCCTCGAAACTAAACACGGAGTGCTAAACAAGAAACTCAAATGAATGAATCAAACAAAGTCAATAATTTAACGAAAATTATATAAGTGGATAAAGACAACTAGAGGTATTCTAATAGGATTAATGAAAACCATGTGATGTTAAAATTAAATGATCCTTACACGGAAAGTGATAATACACTAATACAGTATATTTGTTTAGATAATTCGTAAGGATTTACAATAAACATTTAATATTTGATGAAGAAAGAATGAGACTGTAAAATAAAAATTATTATCGTAGGTCATGGTTTAAAACTTAAGGAAAGAGAACAGATGACAGATATAGGCAAAGAAGAAGCGAGCGTCTTGCTTAAGGTTGTCAAAATTAAGAACAAAGTTTTGAATTTAGAAAAAGAAGCAAGGATACATAATATTTGAAAGAATAACATTAACAACAACATCCTAAAAACAGCACTAATAGACTTCTAGAACATTGACAATAAAAAACTTGTATCAAACATAAATAATATCGTACCAAAAGCAGGAGCGAGTACGGTTTTATTATGCACATGTGCACTGCATAGTTCAGTAACCTACGGGACACCATAAGTCAGGTTTTCCCCAGTACTAGGTAAGCTGCGTGGGAGTTTTACCGACATGATACACTTAGCGATTTTATAATCTGTCGTGCGATCACACAGGACAACCATGTTTGTAATAACTTTGAAGTTATACCTGTTTGCATATGTTTAGTGAGCAAGTCTTGCATCGCTTTTTCCTTAACTGTATGTTTTAAGATTAAAGAGATTTTTATGGTTTAAATGTTGAAGGAAGAGGAGGATAAATGATAAATATTATTATCATGTTGTTAATTATACTAATTTGACTGAATAAGTAGAAGAAATAGGAGAGTAAGACAAATAGATGGATAGGAAATGATATGGTTGAAATTATCGTCACGTCAAAGAAAGAAATATTAAACTTCTATCTAGTTCAATAGGAACTAGATCCTCACAAATTACAAAAATCCCCTTTGGCATCTGTATATTTGTTACTATGTTCAAACGCGATAAACTCAAAAAATACTGGACGGGTTTTTGCATAGCGCTGTTAAAGAGGGAAAGTTTAGATTTAAATTATATGTTTTTATAGGTAAAGCCTTGGGTGGATATCTAATATTATTAAAGATAAGTAAGAAACAAGCTACCTACTTGTAACGATTCTCTGCGCAGCTGCTCCTGTGCATGTTCGCGCATCAACTGTTGCTTCAGCTGTGTGCGAGAAGTCGGCGTCAATGTCTTGAACGTAGGCGGGCTGGAACAACGAGAAAATTCACGTTAATTCACTTATATGAGTAACAGGATCATACAAAATGGTTGTGTTGAATTATCCAATTAGATTATGACACCTAAAAAGAACCAATTTTTATTTTGATGTAAAACAGCTGAAGTTTTTTTATTCTCTAGATGCTAGTGGAACAGCTTTTTTGTCAGAGTTACTTTCTTCTTTTGCAATGACATGCCTTCTCCTTTTATTAACCGACTTCCCAAACGGAGGAGGTTCTCCTTTTTTTGGCCGGAATGTTCATGCTTTTTCTCTTCATCAAACATCATCATATACATATTTCTTTCATATCCTTTCTCATACAATCTTCGCATCTTTTATTTGGGTTTCCTTTACCATCCACATTTAAAGATTAAATATGAACTACACATTTGATGGTGACTGGGCAGTGGTGGGTACACAGTACAAAGATTATGGCAAACTACTCTTAATGTAGTGGAGGTCTATAGTTGATGGTGATATGATGACAATATTGTATTTAAATAACAATATTTAATAAATATGCCATTCATGTGAATACAAGACGTGTTGTCGTGGGCTAACGGGTACAACATAACATTCGTTTATCCTCGATCCGAGGATCCGACCTAAGGTGCGCACGCGCATAATAAACGTCGGCGCATGAGTTAACATACAAAAGGGAAATTTGTTTCTACCGAATAGATTTATTTGTTTATAATGTTTGTATAGTACCTTTTTAAGTTCAATATTTATAGGTGTATCTTTAATGTTGCAGTCAGCAGCATTGATTCAAAAGCGATTTTGTTTCTTAACTCTATGATCGAAAGGAGGTGGAAACCAGACCACAAAAGCTACGCCTTCTAAATATCTACATAAATCTTTCGTAAATTAGATCCACGACATTCCTTTGTAGGTATTAGAATTAAATAAATATCTCCGTAATATGTATCGCTTTACAGTTTAAGTACAACACCATGTGTATTATAAATGTCAAACGGTTACACAATATGACATTGGTGATATGCACGATTATGAGAAGATCCCTGCCATGAACTCTTGGAAACAAGACGGTAATATAAAACAGACGAACATATTCTGTAAAAACAAATGAATAGTAAGCAAATATGGGCTAGAAACCATTGCAGTCTTAACTATCTCCGGACGCAAAAATCATAGCATAAAATCTATTCGTTACGACATGTAAGAAAGAGAGGCAAGACATATTAAAACGTAATTTAGTAAGGATAACGTGTAAAAGAGTATTTAGATTCCACAGATAAACGGTGAAGGAAAACATCGTGAGGAAACCTGGGCTTATATTTACTGATTATAAGTTTGAAATCGCCAACCCGCATTGAGCAAGCGCTTTAATGCTCAAACCTTTTCCGTGTGAGAAGTAGTGGCAACTTATAGGTGTTGATGATGAATGTGTAAAAATCACTGCAACTAGGATATTCTTCATCTTCTTGTTTATCACTCGAACCTAGACCTTTACTTGGTTGTCCAGCCCTATCGTAATCCTCTTTGTAATGAAAATAAGACTAAATCTAGTATTCTATAACTACTGGTAATGATAGCATTTATGTACATTCTGATGACCATGTGACGATAATTTTGATGGAGCTATTATGAAATGCCATTTGATGTGTCATTACATCCGAGGATGTATAATAAAACTTTATTTGTATCTAGCATTTCCGCCATTTATAAAAAATATATCTATGTTTAATGAATTGTTGTCGACTGCTGAATAGTGTTATCTCCCAGACTAAGCCTTTTCTAAGACTTCCTAAATATTATAAAAGAGCAATAGGAGCAATTCCAACTGTTTCATTACATATTTAATATAATAAAGCTGTAATCTTATACTTATTATATAAAGCTGAATAATTTTGTCTGTTTGTTTAAACGCCCTAATTTCAGGGACTACAGGACCAATTGTGTTGCATGGTCCATTTATCGAGGAAGCCATCACGCTACGATCAATGGGCGCTGAGCAGAGCGGGTGAAAGTAGCTAGTAGATTTAATTGAGAAAATATCATCCCGAAGTTTGGATCATATATTATGTCACTCTAAAATAGTATGTATGCCTGAAAATATTGTTCCTTCACCTCATGAATAGAGATACTTGATCTTCCACTAGGACAAAGACGACTAGAACTCAAAATTATAGTATCTACATAAACTAGTGTTGGTATTGACGGGAATTAACGGTCAAGGCTCACTTGTCGGCCACACATGCGCAAGAGTCGGTATACGGGCAAATTATGCCAATGTGTAATACATGGCCGCTACTCAGTTATGATTGGGCCGCGGATCTGTTTGTTTGCTTTTTAGAATTAGTTTAACGGACATTCTAATCAATCGCAGTATTTCGTTCCAGTAGTTTCTAGAAATGGTAATAATTATTCTGTAAAGACAAGTCATGGTAGTCTGGTGGTTATAGCGCCCATTCGGGCGGCCCATTATAGAAATGCTAAAGTATCTACTCACACAGATAATCTATGTAATTTTTCATAAACATCATTAGAAAATATGGAATCAAAACTAAAATGTGTGTTATCAATTAGCATTGAGCAAGCGACTCGATCAGTGCTCGTTCCCTTTCTTTCTGAGAGTTAAGAAGCCTTTGTCCTGCAGAAGGACAGTTGATAGACTGATTTATTTGTTCAGCAATATTCTAGACAATATATTATCTACCTAGTTTACATTCAGACCTTAATTAGACATGAGGGTATGAGGGTGTGTAATGATAACTTCCTGAAGTATCATACATTACTTAGATATGCTATATTTAATGTAAAGGGCTAAAAAAAAGTGATTGGAAGAGCCATGCTTAGGCACAAATGGGCCGGTTCGACCGGAGTGATATCACGGCCGAGCAGAACACCGACGTGGAACAACATTTGCGTTGTGTGGGTGAGGTTACCGGAGGCCCAATTACTCCCCTCCCCTATCCCTGAATCCCCAACAATCCTCAAATTCCTAATACCCAAAAGGATGGTAACGCACTTGTTTACCAACAGGTGATCAGTCTGCTCTTTTACCGGCCTATCCCATAAAACACAAATTCTGTTTACCTGTGTATGTTAGCTTATAAATATTATCTACTATGCCCAAGTACTTATTGAGTAAAATGTTATAAAATGGGTAAATGGTTATTAGTTATTACATAAGTAGGTAGTAAATAGTTATTAGTGTTATTATTGAATGCACGTGACAGGTTAAAAGCTGTGTGTTATTGACAAACAGGTTTATTGTTTTTGTTCTACTTTGACTGAAATTCGTGGTAAATGTCTAATTAAGAATTAATACTGTGTTGATGGTTTAAATACTGTATAGTTCTAATACATGTAGGACAATAATAAAATAACTGGTAAGAAAGAATTGAGGAGTGTTATGTAGAAAAGTTAAATGAAAACATAATGATTTAATGAAGTAAGTAAAAAGTAATTTAAGATAAGGGCATTTACAATTAACACATTTAATAGTTACATAAGATTATATCATATATTGAATTATGGCATGGAAATAAAACTACGATATAAAAGAAATAAGAAATGGGGAGGCCTATGGCTGATATTATATACGGAAACGCAGAAGGCCTAACGGGTCGCCGGGGCTCCGGCTCGAAGAGCAGGAGTAGGAACAGGGTGGTTACCCCCTCAAAAAGAAAATGGCTGATATGATGATGATGATGATGATGGTGATAAAAGAAACAGAATATCCCATCAAATATAAATTTGTCTTATCGATGACGTTCATAGCTCATTCTAGATCAAGTACTTCATTCTAGAATATACGCTTTGGATGGAGCAGCTAGCTTCACTAATCGAAAGACAATAGACAATAGTATTTAAGGTGCCTGTGAAAGTATTTGGAATAGACAATTTGGTCGATTTGTGAAGTTTAAAAACTTTTCTTGGCTACAAACCAGTCCATCATCATATCATATTGATGTTAAGACGTGAGAAGAAATGGAGTAATCATCTTTATCGAAACTTGGCACTAGATCGAATACTATATTATTTGCACAATGATACGGTTAGTGCCAAATACATACGTGTGATTTTGTTCAGTCTTGTTGAAGATATTAGAGAGTGCCAGGTGGGGAAGGGATTGTTGAACGTGGTTTGAGTAGCATAGGCTCTCTTCCTATGACAGTCAAAATGAATAACTGACCTTCATCCGAAACATGTCATGACTGTTTCGTTGGCCGAGTGGTCGTAAATGCGACTGCCGGGCAGTTTACTGGGTTTTGTGCCCGGTATAAAGCAATAGACTCACCCCCTATTGCATGGACCTCATAACATAAATAGTGAAAAGTGGGTGTTACATTGTACAGTGGCATTAAGTTTCGTAATGTGCACCTCTGCCTACACCTTAAATCACTATCAAACTAAAGAGTTCGATTACAGCGCTAGTACTTACGGTACTTATTGTTACATAGCTGCATAGAAAAATAAAGTACTATGAACAGCATAAACCTACTTATCAATCAATGTGTATCCGATTGATGGGTTCAAAAGGCAGAGTAGTATGTAGTTGCCACTTCGATCTTAAGACAATGCTATTCGTAATTACCTATAATGATTACAGGAGCACCAGAGAATTCGAAGAAAACGTGTCGTATTTTAATAATATATCATAGATACAGGTTGCTTATCAACCGATAAACATCTGTATGTATGTTCAGTGTTATCGTGCTACAATCAGCTGTTGAAATTGGGTCATGTATTGAAACATTATATGCTATGTAATACCGAACAAAGTTCATAATCAGAGAGCAATCTTGCTTCCCTTTTAGACGTCCTTGGTTTTGGTTCCAAGTAGATGACATTCAGATATTTTTAAACGACTTAAAAAAAATAAGGTTGTCAGTTAGAATTGTATTGTATGTATGTATATATGTATATTTGTGTGCTTTTATCTCTCGATTCGCTGAAACGATTTTGATGCAGTTTTCAGAAAAATGTTTGTTACACTTAGAAAAAGGTTTTAGTCCTTA